TTATTTTACGAAGAACTAGTTCTTCATAACAGGCGAGTTGTCACAAAAGCTATGTGTTGGCATGATAGACTGTGTACTAAAGGAAAGGTTTTGGGAAAAGATCGTTGTGGATTGTAACATTTCTTTCTCTTCTCTTCCCACTCCCACTATACCTCAGCTCTTCAGCTGGCATGCTGCAGGGTTTGCCCTCAGGTTTATTACAGTATTGACAGCACTTTGATTCCTGACTGAAATTATGTTTCATTCATAATATGCCATCCATACTGACTGACAGGTGATGAAAGTTGTTATTCCTCTGTGCCAGTGACAGTCAGAGCCGGCACAGAGCCATGTTGTTTTCAGATTGTCCATCCGTCTGTCCCATTCTCGCGGACATGATATCTCAGTAACGCCATGACAGAACTTCTTCAAATTTGGCACAAACACTCACTTGGACACAAGGATGAACTTATTAGATTTTGGTGGTCAAAGGTTAAAGGCCAGAGGTCAACGTCATGGTGACCTCACAGAAGCATGGTTTTGGTCTTGTGAACGCCATATCTCAAGAACTCTTCAAGGGAATCCCTTCAAATTTGGCACAAATGTTGACTTAGACTCAAGAACAAACTGATTAGACTTTGGTGGTTTTTGGATGTTTTAGCAATAACCCAAGACCTCACACAGCAATTATGACAAAAGTTCACAGTGTTGTGTAGTGGGAGCTTCGAGCAATGAACAAAGCAAGTGTCAAAATGGAACATTTTACTTGCCAGTATGCTGCAGTTTTAGAAGCACAACGTAAACAAACCGGGCTCTTACAGCCGGTGTCTCAACTTCATAACATCATCACTTTACTAACAATAAAACCGCAACAGCTCCTGTTCCTTATACTTCAAAATAAAAGCATGTCTGCTCAACACTTCATCATATTACTAAATCATTACCATTAGCTGCCTTTCAAACAAAGAAACATAAACCACATTTTTTAGCTTATTTGAACCAAACATTTCACAACATCCTCCATGATAAGTTGATCAACCCTATTCAGTCCTTTTCTTTAACTTATCTCTAATGGATATATTAACTGAACAGGTCTCTTTAACACACTGCCCGTAGAAGTACGAATAGTACAGGAACGAATGAGTCCATCTCTGCCTAGAAACGGTTCCATTATCCTGCCCATTTTCCAGGTCTGTCTGGGTATGTTATCCTCTCCAATCAGGACAACATCTCCCACCTTCAAAACAGTGGGTGTAGGTAGCTCACACTTGTGAGCTGATTTCAAGTCCATTAAGTAGTTCTTTCGCCAGCTGTTCCAAATGCTGGTTAAGAGACGCTGACGATACCTCCTTCTCCAACCCATGTCCTCTCTGCTCACATTGGTCGCCTGAGATGGGAGGAGCACAGTCTTTGGTGGTAGAGAAGTTAGTCCTTTCCCAACCAGGAAATGAGAGGGTGTGAGTGGCTGGTGCTCTGATGCCTCACTATGTACATAGGAGAGAGGTCTGGAGTTCACCACAGCCTCTACTTCTGCAAGCAAAGTCATTAGTTCCTCCTGGTTTAGTGAAGCTTTTCCCATGACCCTCCTTAAGCATGTTTTCACAGATCTCACAAGTCTTTCCCAGAAGCCACCCCACCAAGCAGCTCGCTCAGCAATAAACTTCCAGGTGATCCCTTTGTCTGTGAAGAATCTTGTGAGCTCTGATTCTCTGATGCTCTGATTGCCTGCATAGTTCTTTCGGGTCTTGGTCTGCTCTTTTGAACGTCTTGGCATTGTCCAAGTAAATTACTTTACACAGTCCTCACCTTGCAATAAATCTCTTTTAAAGCTAAGAGAAAAACTTTGGTAGTCTGATCTGAGACTAACTCTAGATCTCCACATTAACCTGAACACTTTCAGTACATTTGCACAGGTGTCTGTTTCTTTTGTGTGTTCTACTCCACTTTCTGTCCACTTGGCTCTCAGATCTGGTGAATTTCTCACCTATTTACACAGGTTCATGCCGGCATGGGACAGAATCTCCTTTTGCTATTGTGGAGACTGAAAAGGTTTCCTCCACATCACATGAACTGGAAATTAAGTCATCCACATAGAAAGAATCTCTGTGCCTCCGCTGCTCTAGGCTGCTGCTCTAGGCTAGGCTGTTTTGTACTGCTTGATGTGTTTCCTTATTGTTGCAGCTAACAGGAATGGGCTAGGAGAGATGCTGAATACTACTCATTCTCATGATGTGCAACTCATTTTAATCTTTGGCTGCAGGTGCCTGGAGCCACAGGAACCCTAACAACATCTTTGATCTTTTTTGCTAGAGCTGTCTGCAAGAAAGCCATGGTAATATCTGCAGGCTATCTGGTGGAGTCTGAATCTGATTAGCACCTCTAACAGATTTGGATTAAGGTTGGGCCCTGTCAGTAAACAGTCATTTAGTGATGGGCAACCCTCCTCATATGAAGATGCATCAAACACCACTCTGTTTGGTTGTTGCTTTATCTTCTCGGATGAGAGCATGATGTGGCATGTAATATTTCATATTTCTATTTTGCTTTGCCCTTGAAGTGTCCTCTGGTACAGCCTCGCAGATGCCTTGCTGCAGGTAATCCTGTATGATGTCATTGTGCCTTGTGTACAAGGTTGCATCCATTTTTAGTCTCCTCATGACTTCTTCAAACTGCTCCTTAGCGACCCTGAAGTTGTTTGGGAGCTCAGGTCTGTCAGGTTGCCATGGTAACTCAACTTGGTAGCGGCCATTCATGTGCGTTATAGTCTGTTCAAAGCTCTGAATAGCCTCTGTTTCCTCTGGGCTCTGGGTTTTCTCATTAATGATACCCAGTGACTCCACCTCCCAAAAGACGTGTAGCTGTTCAGAGCTATGGGTGTCCTCATCTAGACTGATGTGCATACAAGTGATGTCAGTTTCGCTGGATGTTGTAACTGGCCCTTGCAAAGCCCATCCAAAGCTGCTCTCTATGGCTACGAGAAAAGAAACAATTCCCAATTCAACCTATGAATTGAGGTTAGGAATATTGACATTATTAATGATAATAATGTCATATAAATAATATTGATGTTATTAATATCTGCATTTTTTTTACAGGCTCCTACTTATTGAGAAAAATGTAACTTCAATATAATAATTGACTTATTTATTAAATGTGGTGTGTTTGTCTAAGTACCACTAGATAGCAGCGTTAGAGCCCAAATGGCAACCTGTTGAATTTTGAGCAGACTGGAGGAAGAAAGAGAACTTTGGGTCAGTAAGGCTGTGATTTCAATGTTAACTGTCTAAGATCCATTCTGATTAGTGGAGAGAATGTTTTCCTGTTAAACAAAAACAAACATATGGTCTGTTGTTCGCCCTCTGGACAGGAATGAGAACCTGTAGCGTAGGGCTGAGCAATTTGGGAAAATAATCTAAATTTTTCAAGTTCCTTATCCTTTGTATTATTCAACAAACACAAGCAATAAATCATTCTATATTATAACTAACACAATATTAGATAGATTAAACATAAACCGTTCTTTCATGTAGGCCACGCCTAAATGTCATGATGAAATTAGATGATGCATGAATTGATATGAATGACCTGGCAAACCCCTCTCTTGGGCCAGCTGCAATGTTTTCCCCCGTGTGCTCGTCTGGGAAGTAGGCAGTTTGAAGGCAGTGAGCTTTGAGTTCAAAGTCTTCATTAATGTAATACACCGTAAGACTCTGATAGGGCTCTGCTGTATGGCTTGACCCAATTTGTCAGTTGTATTAGCGAAAAACGAAAATAGCTAAAATATGTGTGGGATTGCACGCTGTACCACTGATCCAGTTGTTGCTCCCTCTTTTAGCCGACTACTCTACTCTTGCTTGCATGTCACATGACCAGAGTGTTATCACAGCCTTTGCGGTCAGAAAATCTCATTTTATCATATTGCGATATTATCACAAATGCGATTAATCATTCAGCTTTGCTTTAGAGGATGTAGAGACAGAGCAGGTGAGGGGTTGGAGCAGGGAGCAGAGCGAGGAGTGCACCTGAACCACTCACATAGACTTCATACAAACGAATACTTGAACTTGAACAGATGTCACTCAAACCCGCTCAAATTCACCGCTCATGATGTTGCATTGCCTCAGCTTGTTTTCTGTTTCAGTGATTTAGTCATTTCCTGACCCCCGCTCTGCACAAATGTACTGTCCCATATACTGATTCGCAGTTGCATATAAGACAAATGATAGGTACGTAGCCAAAACATACCCACTCGCAAGAGCCCACATAACCACAATATAGGCATACATACAACTCATTGTGTATGAAATGTAGCCCCTCTGTCAAAAAGGTGTGGGTATGTTGATGCCAGCCAATAGCATGGAAGTATTGATGGTACAAACGTCTTAAGACATTCAAAATTAGCGTGTTAACACGGCATTTTCTGTCATCTTTAGACGTAATTGAGGTGTAAAGACGACATTTTCTGTTGTCTTAATGCGGACGTCAAAATAGAGGTTTTGGACCAATCCGCATGCCATAGTCCTGCAACACATTCAGTCCAGCCTCCCCAACAGACTTGACCCCCTCCAGTGTGCTTGCTGCTCCAACTGCTCCACTGAAGACGCTGTAACATCTGCACAACTATATTTCCAAAGTGCTTCAGTTTTGACAGATGAATGACAGATAAAACAGTAACTAATGCTGTCATTGCCTGCTCCTGCTATGTCTCAATTAAAGCAAGAACATCCCTTATTGAACATAAGATATTCTTGTCCCTGACAGTGCCTTTGATAACCAGAAGAGAGGTAGGTACATCACATCTTTCTTGTACATGGCCTCCATCATAATGTAATTGGTGGGCAGATGACGGAAAGTGCTACTTGGTTTTTGGGGTTAAATTAGGGTCTCAGCCCCATAACCTGCCCTCTCTCTTATGTGATAGTATATTTTCATTGCCTTCAGCATCACATCCAGCACTGTGTGTTGTCCATGTAATGCAGCATATTAACCATATTTTATTCCATATCCTGTCTTTGTCTCAGGCTGTCCACCACACAGAACATAAACAGCTCATATTGTGTTGGCTCTCCTAAACAGTACCAGCTCTGTCCAAACCAGGTATGGTGCTACACTCATATTGATACTAAAGTTAAAGGTATAATATGTAACTTTTCTGCATTAAAATGTTTTAAAATGTCTTAAAATGTCTTAAAACAACTAGACCAGAAAAATTTAATCATGGTAAGGATCTGTTTCATTTCGTCGCCTGTCAATGGCGTCATATCCTCTTTTAGCCTCGTTGTGGTTGCCTACCAGAATCGTTAAAATTAAAAAGACTTTTATCCAGTTTTACGCGTCATGGATCATAAGTTGTCAGAGAAACAATCCCAGCAAACATTAACAGTAGCTTGGCTCCCAGACCCTCCCTGACGTCCTGTGTGTGCTGAACAGTGTAGGAGACAAACTGATATTTAAAACCAAAGTGCCTTATTTGGTGTTTCTACCAGGTCACTGGAGACCTCTGCGGATAATTAAAAACCTCCTGAGCACCTGGTTTATAAGTCATCAAAGAAATGACCCGACCAAACAAAGCAGAATGCAGTGATGGCGTGGGTAAAGACAACAACTCCCATAATCCCATGCCACTTCACCCAACACCATCTTTTGCTATTGTTTTGATTGAGAGACTCCTAGAGGCATAAGTACGGTGGCCCTGAGAGCTCAATGCACTGCAACTCAAGAAAACGCATACAAAAATATTTTCATCAATTTGACAACACATGTGCTGCAAAAAAATTACAGCACATGCAAATAAACAAATGCACTGAAAATTCAGTCCTACAGCACAACAGAAGTGTTTCCAGCAGACACAAGCGTAGAGGTAGCAGTGGGGGGTGGGGCATGAAGCAGTAATCCTAACCGCAGTGGCCTCTCTCTCTCTCTCTCTCTCTCTCTCTTTCTTTCTCTTTCTTTCTCTCTCTCTCTCTCTCTCTCTTTCTCTTTCTTTCTCTTTCTTTCTCTCTCTCTCTCTCTCTCTCTCTCTCTCTATCAGAATCAAGGCAAAAAATAATTTAAAAGGAAAAAAAGTGAGTAACCCGTCTGGGACGCACTTGTTATCCAGTGCTTTTAGCTTCAGAGGTTACAATTTGACATTGAACAACAAGTTCCAGCCAGGTTCATGACTTTTTAGTGTCCCTAGAAACACTTCTGTTGTGTTGTAGGACTTAATTTACAACGTTTTTGTTTATTTGCATGTGTTGTGAGTTTTTGCAGCGTGTTGCATGTGTTCTCTTAAGTTGCAGTGTGTTGAGCTCTCAGGGCCACCATACTTATGCCTCTAGGAGTCTCTCAATAAAAATAATCAAGTTACAGACAGTGTAGGAAGAAATTAGTAAAAAACTGAAAAACTCTTGTCATGCTTGAATTGTCTTTTAAGCTGTAGGTGTCCTTTTCTATGTCTTTGTGTGTGCGTGTGTGTTTGTGTGTTGTTGTGCTTGCCAGCCCTGTCCCAGCCCGAGTGTTAGCTTCAAACAGCACCAGTGTTCCCAATTTAACTCCAAAGCCTTTGGAAGAAGATACTACCAGTGGATACCTCTTTACCCAGGTACACCGTCGGTATGTCTGTCTGTCTGCCTGCCTGCCTGCCTGCCTGTTTTCCTTCCTTCTTTATTCCGGACATGAACATTCACAACTTGAATGCTTTGCTTTCTCAAATAAATGAAGGTAAATTGTTTCACAATTGTCAGTTGGCCACCTGCTGAAAATCATTCAGTTTGACTGCTTACATGGGGAATCTATTAAAGTCTTTCTAACTCTAGCAGTTGTGAGTTTCCTGATCTACTCCTCAGTTAAAGCTCACAAGGCAACTTTGCACTTTTGCAATCCAACTGAATTTTGTAGATGTCATTACACAGAAATCATAGATTGTGATGTCAGTGAAGTAAATATCTTTTTAAAATATGTAATTTCCTGTGTAGCTGATTACATCAGCATCTCCAATAAGCCATGTGACCTGCAGTGTACAACCATCAGTGGTGAGCGACAGCTCCTCGTTCCTGCCCATGATGGTACATTCTGCCGCGATACTAAATACCACGGAGTCTGTATAGAGGGAATATGTCAGGTAATCCAATAAAGGAAAAGTGGTGTTTTCAGAAGAATTACTAATATTTATTAAATGTTTAAGTTATAGCAAAATATATTTGATTTTTTAAGTCATTTAAGGCAAAATTTTCTTGTTAATGAGAAAAATTGAACAAGTGAAACATGTTTTGAACTTCTCTTGCAGCCTGTAGGTTGTGAGGGAAAGCTGTACAGCAGTAAGACAGTGGACAGATGTGGAGTGTGTGGAGGCAACGGGGCATCATGCCAGCGCATCTCTGGGTCATACAGGAAGGCACTCACACAGTTAGGTAACACACACACACAAACACACATGTAGACATATGTGCGTACAAGTATAAAATTATGTACTATTATTGTTAAAGTCAAGTTATCAGGTGATGAATTCGGTTACACTGGTCTAACAATACTAAATATGCTGGATCCACATTCACATTCAAACATTGTTTTCCACTTAACCCTTGTGGTATATATCCATGCAGATAGTTTTGCATGGGTAGATACCACAAGCTAGCTGCTATTGAGATGTCTGCATACACCCCAGTACAAAGGAGCTAAATGAGAAATGGCTAAATCAGTGGATTATCTTCAATAACAAGGCAGCAATGTCTGAGTTTTTTTAAACATAACTGTTTAGCCACGCTAGCTGCTGTTGGTCTTTTTGTTGATCAGTTGATCTGTGCACCGCTTTGGTTCATAGAGTTTTCACTCATATGGTGAAATATCTCCATTTGCTTGATGGATTTGGCAAAAAAATTTGTTCAGACATCCATAGTGCTCGGATGATGTATTCTAATGACTTTGGTGATCCTCTGTCTTTTCATCTAGCGCCATCATCAGGTGAAAAGATTTTTTTTGTACAATACTATCCTCTCAGCCTTAGCTATACAAACGTTAGCTTGCTAACAAGCTAAACCCAGATGGTGAACATTATACTTGCTAAAGATCAACATATCAGCATTTGCATTTTAGCTCTGTTTAGCCAGTAGCATGGCTGTAGATTGGGACTTGCTGATGCTATGACCAACAAAAATACCAAATGTCAAAACTCAGCACACAGTACAAAAGGTCAAACTATCTGCTTCTAAGTTGGAAACTACTGATTGTTTATTTGTGATTTGGGCCTTTGGAGCTACTGGAGAAGTTTAGATCAGATTGAGCTGATGTGTACAGCTTAAGGCTTAAGGTAAAGGTTGATTTCCAACAGGGACACCATGTTAGTTTCTGTCTTTTGTTTAATTTGTACACACACTTTTGCTACACTGTTCACTACTGACAGTTAGGTCACATCAGACAATCCTGCCTCTATTTTTGCCATCAGGATACGTGTTCATCACCAACATCCCAGCTGGAGCTACAGACATTCAGATCATAGAGAGACACAAGACTGAGAACATCCTGGGTGAGAACCTACAACTTCTGTAAGGTCAATATACTGAATATGAAATCACCAGATTTCAATAAACAGTTAAAGCACAAAGGGGGTTTTGAGATGTTTTTTTAATTCATGAAATTATATATATTTGAATATATAATATAACATAAGATTGACTGAACACGGTCTGGACCTTGTTATTATTTTAATCTTCTCATCTAGCTCTGGGTAATTTGGTAATTGGAATTTCCAAAACAAGAACCAGTAGCTGTATTGTAACACTATCTTGAAATTGACTAATCTTTCTGTAGATGTTTGGGTTCTGACCCAGTTCTGATCTCACCCAATTTTCACCCATTTCCTGTCATATCCAGCCCTGTCAGATGAAGCCGGTAATTTCTTCTTCAATGGAAACACTGTGTTTGACAATCCTCAAAACTTCAGAGTGGCGGGAACAGTGTTTAAATACCGACGTCCAAGCAATGTGTTCTCTGATGGGCTGGAGTACATCATCGCCCAGGGACCAACACTGCAGGGCCTCAATGTTATGGTAGTGCACGCACACAGAGATGTGTGCACACACATTTTGTAAATAGTATATAGTATAGTATATGTGTCTTGTTTTTAAATACAAAATATGATTGAATTTCATCCCAGTATGAAGTATGTTAATCAGTATAATTTTTATCATTGTGTATGTAGTACTACAACTTGAATGGGAAGCTCCCTCACATCACCTACGAGTACACCATCCCCCTCAAGTCTTATGACATCACTGCTGCAGAGGGTGTCACTTTGAGCCCTGGCCACTCCCATCTTAACTTCACCTATAATGAGGTAAATGAGGACATCATAGGGGATGAAGTGAGGTTGACAAACCACAGCAGAGGGAGTGTTACATCTCTCCATCACTGCAACACACAGCTGGCAGCTGACGACCAATCAAATATCCAGCTACAGGAAGAAGAAGAAGAAGGGGAGGAGGTTTTGTGGGAAATTCGGACACCCAGCCCTCCACCACCAGCGGCCGTGTTGGTCTACAGACCGGCTGATGTCACCAGTCATGTGTTCAGCCACAATGATGTTGAAGAGCAGGGACCTCCTGCACCATCTGGATACCGTGAGTCAGAGACTGAGCTGTCTTCTGATAATAACATTTTTTAATTTTTAAATCAATTACAAATGTTTGTGTAGAAGCTGCCAATAGACAGAGTTCATAGACAGAGTATATACATGTATATAGAAACAAGCTCATAGTTGATTTTGAAAAGCTATAATTGTAACAACCAAATCTTTACATTTTTACTCCATGATTTAAACATTTATTTAATTATCATAGCTGGCATTGACTGTCAACAAAATGATATATATATGTATATGTATATGTATATGTATATGTATATGTATATGTATATATGTATATATGTATATATATATATGTGTGTGTGTGTGTGTGTGTGTGTGTGTATATATATATAAATATAGTATATATATATAATATATATTAATACTATTATATTGAGTGAGAGTGTATTTTTCTTCGCTTTTTTCTGTTTTTTTTTTTTTTTTTTCCTAACTTAATTCCAGTGCATTCAGAAAGCATTCAGACTCATTATGTTGCAGCCTTTTGCTAAAATTGTTTGTTTGTTTTCCCTCATCAATCGACACTCATGATGACAAAGTGAAAAGATAAATTTAGGATTTTTTGCAAATTTATTAAACAAAAAAATAGAAATATCATATTAACACAAGTATCCAGACACTTTGCTGTGACACTTGAAATTTAGCCTAGGTTCCTCCATTTCTCTTGATCATCTCTGAAATGTTTCTACATCTTGATTGGAGTCCACCTGTAGTAAACTCAGCTGATTGGACATGATGTGAAATTTTGAAAGAGAAAAAAGTGTTTTCACTGTGTCATTAACATTATGGGGTAGTGAGTGTAGATTGATCAGGGAAAAATGAATTTAAACACTTTCAGCACAAGGCTGCAACATATAATGAGTTTGAACATTTTCTGAATGCACTGTAATATGGCTGATATATTGTCCTGGTTCATTTATTGGTCAAGCTCTAATGGTCAGTCATTGCTGTAACTGTTCATTTGATAGATTTGGAAATACAGACACAAATGAATGTTTGGACTGTGTAAACATGACCTCTTTTGGAGAATATGCTGACCTTAATATTAGCAACATGTTCAGTATACTCTTTCCTTCTGTCCAGCCTCCTACTGCTGTGGGCTTACCTGTCTGTCTATGTCTATTTGTCTCATAGTCTTTTTGTTCTTCTGGTCATTAAGGGAGTTCCTCCAATTTGATTGATGAGCCGTCCGCTACTGATGACAACACTCTAGTTCTCTCTTTCCCAGGTAGGAAAGACAAATTGAGCTTTTTTTCCCCATTGTTGAGTGTTTAAATTTCTTTATGAAATCAATATATAGAACTAAAATGTGTTTTTGAAATTTTATGAAATGGTATACAGGAGCTATTTCAAGACATTGCAGATGAACAATTTTTTGTGAATATATTTTATTGGCATTTTGGGAGTCATCACAATACATTACAGAAAAAAAACAATGACAAGAAATGCTCCTATTATATCCAGCCCCTTGCCCTCCCACTGCCCCATCCAACACCTCCCTGTTAACCCTTTGGGCTCTTTATCTTAAGGAACTGTGCTGACAGTATTGACCAACATAATTAATAGTAAAAACAGAAAACAACCAGCAATAACAATAGAAAGCAAAGTATATTACAGAAAAAAATTATAAATTAAAAATAAATAAATAAATGAAATAAAGGAAAGTGAGAACAAAGTGTAGTGTGTGTATGTATGAGTCTTTGTGGTGCAAAATAGATTGCTATGCTGCTTTGTTATCATGCCAAAATGTAGGATACAGCTGCTACATTGTGTTAGCCATCTCACCCTTGTAATCATTCTTGGGGAAGGGAAGTCAGACTCTTAACCTAAGTGATCAGGGATCGCCAATGACTGTAAAATTTATCTGTCGAGCAGCCTATGGAGAATTTAATCTTTTCTAACTCCCAGAAAGACATTATGTCTCGCAGCCATGAGGCTGGAGATGGAGGCAAGGGTTTCTTTCTTAATAAAAGTGTTCTACGATAGGCAATTACAGAGGTAGATGAAACTAATTTAGAAGTTTGCTTGTCTTGCTGAAATATTTTCGCCAACTTCAGGTACACCAAATATGGCAGTTAACAGGGATCGTTGGATTACTTGTTTTAATATTACTGACAAAGTTCTGAAATATGATTTCTAGTACTCCCCCAGTCTCTGACATGACCTAAACATATGAGCGAGATTACAAGAAGTCTGGAAACATCTGTCACAAGTGTCTGCAATATTTGGGTATGTCTTGGCGAGTCTAGACTTACTGTAATATGCTCTGTGAACTATTTTGAACCATATAAATTGGGATTTTGCACAATACAAACATTTCCTCTTGCACCTCAGACCACAAATTATCAGACATAGTAATGGCCAGTTCTGTTTCCCATTCTCCTCTAATCCTCAGCAAAGCAGGAGGCATATCTGAAGCTAGGAGATTGTATGAAAACTTAACATACCACCTTGTCATTTTTGTTGAAGGTTATCAGTTCCAGAAGAGAGTGGGGCACCTGGAAATGAGGGTGTGTTTTATTTAAGGACATGCTGAACCTGAAAGTACCTGAAAAGGTCAGATTGCTGTAAGTTGAAGATAGTGCATAACTGAGCAAAGCAAGAGAATGGCCTTAGCCACTAATTGTGCTAAGGCCTTGTCTGGCCCAGAGAAAGAATTTGGCATAAATCTTAGCAGGTTTAAAGGGCTCATTATTACAAATTGGGGTGTTAAGTAGGAGCATGTTCCAGCCGAAGTGTTGCTTGATTTGTTGCCAGATTCTTAAAGTAGATATAACAATTGGGTTATCTGTGTACCTTTTGGGTTTAAGTTAGTCGGCATGGCATACCAAAGCTTTTAAGGAGGAGGAGTAAAATGAATGTGATTCTAGTTGGCACCATTGACTTCCAAGATAGAGGGCCCAGTGTAAACTCTTTTGTATGCCACTTTTTAAGATCTTTCGCTGTTAGTACAGAGAAATTGTTGTCAAATAGTTGGGATATATTTTGGGATATGTTGATTCCTAAATATTTAAATGTTGCTGAGGAAAGAGTGAATGGCAAGTCAGATTGTGTAATATCCCATGTCTGATAAGTCATGGGGAAAAAAAACACTTTTTCCGAAGTTAAGCTTATAACCAGAGAATGTACCAAAGATTTTTAGAGTATCTAGGATATGAGGGATGGCTCTTTTATGGTCTGATACATACATTAGCAGGTCATCTGCATACAGGGAGACTTCATGCTCATCTCCCCCTCTCATGATGCCTGGGATGAGCTTATGGGTCTTAATTGCTATAGATAAAGGTTCAGTAGCTATGGCGAAGAGGAGGGGAGATAGCGGACAACCTTAGTGTGTCCCCCATGCCAAAGGGAAGAATTTGATCTGATAGTTTTAGTACATATGCAGGCTTGTGGAGAGGTGTATAGTAAATGCACCCAAGCACTCTCCAAAACCAAACTTTTTGAGAGAAATGAATAAATACGTCGATTCCACCCGGTCAAAGGCCTTATCAGCATCTATAAGGAAATGACGCCCTTAGGAACAGTTGTTGAGGTAGGAGAGAAGATTATATGAAGAAGCTGTCACACATTTGTGAATGAGTGGCTGTATTTGATAAACCCAGTTTGGTCTTCTGATATAATAGTGGGTAGAACAGTTTCAAGTCTGCACACTAAAATTTTTATAAGCATTTTTACATCCACATTAAGGAGTGTGATAGGGTAGTATGACGAACATTTGTTTGGGTCCTTCCCTTTCTGAGGTATTAGATATATAGCAGCTTGTCTCAGAATGGGTGGTAATGTGCCTTGCTGCAGAAATTCATTAAGCATCTCCAACGAAGAGGGGCAAGTTGTTGAGAAAAACTCTACAGGGTAGCTGTCCGGCCCTGGAGACTTTCCACTTTGCATTAGCATAATGGCTTTGGTTATCTCATCTACACTTACTGGAGACTTCCGGATCATTTTGTCTTTCCAATCAACAAATGTGTTATGTTTATATTTGAATGGAAATTGAGCACTTCAGAGCTGTCATTCGTGACTCAGAGTCGAAAAGGAAAAGGTCCTGAAGGTGTCATTGATCCCAACTGAGTCAGTAATTATTTGACCTGAGGTGTTGTCTATTTGAGTTATCAATTGTGAAGCCAGTCTACCCTTTAGCTAGTGTGCAAGGAAACGGCCTGCTTTTTCTCCATGTTCGTATAAAATAGCTTGTGTTATAATATAATTTCTTTGCCTCCTTTCTGGATATGAGATTAAATTCTGTCTGCAATTCAAGTTTTTCTTTGTACAGTTCTGCTGTTGGAGCCAATGTGTCACATTTATCTACATCAGCTATTGATTTTAGTATCTCTTGTTTTCATTCTTTTCTCTTCTTATTAACATGTGCAGAATATGAAATTATCTTCCCTCTAAAGACCGCTTTAAGAGTCTCCCAAAGTAAGCTAGGGCTAGTGTCATTAGTTCTGTTGGTTTCTACAAACAAATCTACAGACTGAGTGATAACACTGTAGAAGTCTGAAAAAAGTGTAGGGTCAAGTCTCCAAGGATGGAATTTTTTAGGGTGGGACTTGAAATTCAGGCCTAAAGATAAAGGAGAATGGTACCCTCACCAGGTATTCAATGGAGGTCACTGAAGAAGAGGAACAAGAAGAAGTGCTTTATCTATGAAAAAATAATCAATGCGAGAGTGAGACTTATGAATATGCAAAAAAAAAGATAACTGTTTATCTGCCAGGTGTAGAAATCGCTATGGGTCTCTGTAATGATTCATGAATTGTAATAAAAGACTGTGCTATTTTAGAGGGAGTTGCATCTTTGGGGTTTGGTTTATCAAGGAGAGGGTTTATTACAGTGTTTATATTACCCCCAAGTATCAAATAATGAGAGTGCAGTTTGGGTAATGAAGAAAGAAGCTTCTTCATGAAGTCTTCATCGTCATGATTATTACAAATAATTTGTGCAGGAGTAAAAGGAACATTTTTCTTAATCAATACTGCTGTGCCTCTCCTTTTAGTATTAAACTTAGAGCAAAAGATTGAGCCTATCCAAGGTCGACTTAGTCATTAATGGTCAGTAGTGAGTCTCTTGTAGGAAATTATGTCAGTGTTAAGATCTTTTAGGTCAGAGAAAATCCTTGTTCTTTTAACAAACATCTTTTTCCAAAAGATCACTCTAATTGTACGTACCATTTGGCAATCAGTAAATGAAACATTTTTCTATTATTTCCCCACATTATGTGTATGAATGAGTTAACACTAAATTAACATGAATAGCCAGTTGGTATTCATAACTGAACCAACACATAGATGCATTTAGTAATGACAAAACAGATGAAAAGTTAAACATAGGCTATGAATTTAAAAGATTTCAAAGCGTAAAGATGCTTTAACTGGTTTGCTCAGGCTATAGACTAAATGTAAAGACATCATTCCCCATTGAGCACATAAACCAGAGGCTGTCAAGAAGTAAAAGCCATTTTCAAGTCAGATAATAACCAAGTCCCAGCATATGTGAAGACAAATGAGTTGCATCCATCCATATGAACAGGAGGCTGGAATTTGACAGGACTGTTAAAAGCCAAACATATGAAAGTACACCTGGGACCAGCAATGTAGCTTGAATGAAATGGTCATGTCCAGGAAAAGATGTAAAATCCTGTTGTGCAGTTCAGTCCATTTATCCAAGTGCATCACATTTCCAGTGATGCCACGTCCTAAGTCTTGCTATGTTGCCGTTTATGTCCGTCCAGGGAGTTGATAGCCATAATTACACATTGCTAGCCAGGTGTTGATTGAAGAAACTCTCTGCATCCTCTGCATTATTGAATTTACCCTCCACTTGCTAATGGGTGACACAGAGCACCACAGGGTAGTGGAGAGAGAACTTGATTGCCTTTTTGTGTAACTTGGTCCTGACAGTGTTGAATGTGGCAAGCTTTTTCGCCAGTGCATTGCTCAGATCTGGAAAGAATAAAATATACAACTCACTTGGCACCAGCAACTCCAGCTTGCCATTGTGTATCTGTATTAGACCTTTGACCCCATATAAAGAGATTATAAAAATTACCAGCAATGATAAATAAAACATGATTTTATCTTAGTAATTATTAAAAAAGAAAATAAATCAGTTTAGCTTAATCTCTTAAATAACATTTTTTATGTCACTGGTTTGCATTAGTTCATGTCAAATATCTCAGGATGTGTTAAAACCCTAAGGTCATTGTTTATGTCCATTCACAGGTAGTCAAAGTATTCATTCTGCAGCCCTGCCTGAAGAGGCCCCCTATCTCCTGCTGGAGGACCTACACTACAACCAGACTACCTCAAACACACACTCCTTCACAGAGTCAAACGCATACTCTGTTAAACACACACTCACTGATCCACAGTCACCAGCAGAAACACACATGGAGACAGTGTCCTCCACAGACACAGACACACACACAGACACACAGTTGGAATTACACCCAGACATGCTCACGGTTACTGACACACACTCTGTCATACACATAGAAACAGAACCTGGCAGACACCCAGACACACACACTGCCATCTTGGTGCAGCTGCAGCAGGTGTCTGCAGTTCAGGCAGCCAACACAGAGAGGTAGGAGGGAACAGCTGTATGTTGTTCACTACTCATTTATGCTACATGATGTTCATAAGCATGAATATTTAGTGCTAATTACACTGTCATAATCCTGATCATCATTCATTTACCCTGTGCTTATTATTCGTAATCAGTGCTTTTACATGCACGTAAGTAACCAGGTCACAGTTGGCTTTTCCAGTAAGTTCATTTCTTAAATTGTACATGGTTGACCGGGTTTCTAAAGGGCTTTTTATAAGTGTGCATGTGCATAACAAAAGACTGCAGACAGAAAAGTGAAGCGGTAGGATGAAAGGAGAGACCATTTTACAGAGTGATGTGCCTTTGTGTTTAAAGTAATTCATTTTGAAGTCTAACTAGAACAAACACAAACTAACCTCCAGAAGTGTTAAATCTCCATGCTGAACATTTGACTGTTTGTTGAATTTTTTTTTTTTTTAAGTATATTTTTTGGGCTTTTTATGCATTTATTTGATAGTACAGTAGAGAGACAGGAAATGGGGAGGCAGAGAGAGGGGGAATGACATGCAGCAAAGGCTGTCCGATGCGGGACTCGAGCCGGGGCCAACTGCAGCGAGGACTGTAGCCTCTACACACGGGGCGCCTGCTTAGACCACTACGCCACACGACACCCCGTGTTTGCACATCTGCACTATGAGAAAAAGATCTGCACTGTTGCTGTGCATGTATATACAGATTTACAGACAGCATAATCATATATTACCAATTCCCAATTACCCATATTTCTCTGAGTAATCTGGTTACTTAAGTGCATATGAACACACTGAATGAGGGCTACGTTATCATTAAGATCAGTCTTATCCACACTGTTTTAATGACTGTGTAGAAGCTACTATCCTATTTTTTTTAAATTAAACTTCATTAACATTAACATTAAATTCCTCTTGTTGTGTAAGCAAAATAATTGATACTTTAATAGGTTTTTATGAAATACATCAGGTTTCAAAACTGCTTGCCTGTCTTTGTCTCTGTCTCTCTCTAGCAATGACTTCGATGTGGGTCTGGAACCAGATATTAGTCTGGCAGACATGTATCGCTGGAAGGTTTCTGCTTACGCTCCATGCAGCTCCACCTGTACAACAGGTAAACTCATATCTTCAATATACAGGTAACAATATTATAAGACCCACATTTATTGAATTTCAAATCTTTGATAAAGCAACTTGTGAAAATTGTTCTTCCATTGCCTCAGAAAATATTTGTGTTTGACTGGATGTTAAATCACATATCAGGCGTCCTCAGCCAACCACAGTCCAAACATAGTTCTATACATGCAGTGTAGAGCATACAGATATCTGTTGTTGATCTCTGTCTGTACTCTGTGTACACACTGTGTGTGTGTGTGTGTGTGTGTGTGTGTGTGTGTGTGTGTGTGTGTGACCAGGTATCACCACTAGCTACGCCTTGTGTGTTCGGTATGATGGTACTGAAGTGGATGACAGTTACTGTGACTCTGTGACCAGGCCAGAGCCCACACACGAGTTCTGCACTGGGAAGGAATGTCCTCCAAGGTACTGCCTTTACTAATTTAACCTACTAACTGACCAACTGACACAAACTACACATAGTAACATTTGCCAAAGTCTTAACAGTTTAGCAAAGCTTCATTTACATATGGCGAAAAAGTGATCACTAAATTGTGTGGCAGATCAGAAAAGCACCAGAGGAAGACACCATCTGAATTTATGTAGTCAAATTTCTCAAGTATTGAGAGAAAACTAAATAAAACTAATCAAAGCACAAATCAAAGAATAGGCCTGAGATTTTTGTTTTCACCACTTTCAAAACTTGCAGTTGAGATTCAAAAACTATCTGCATGTTTGGAAGTTAGTTGAGTTGAGAAGTTAGTTAAATCAATTGATTAGAATTACGTATTTCAAATCAAATTCCTGTAAGATTTTGAATTTTATCTCCATTATTTTAAAAGGTCATGCAGACCTACAGTTTTTTCAGTTATCTGTAGTTTGTTTTTATTTTCTTGATGGCTTGGACCGCAACAGCAAGGCCAGCCCTGTCAATGCCAGTGTCCGGGACAAACTGATAGAGTTGAGTTATTGAGTTACATTGGCACAGACAGGTTCTATTAGGGGGCGTTCACAGTCTGCAATGTTGAGAACTTTGTCCATAGATTTAGGCATTTAGAATTTTCAAAAAAGCACCTAGTGCCGAATTTAGTGACTTTTTGATAAACCCATAGCTACTTTCCGTAGAAGCAGGGTTAAAGTGGACACGACGTCTGGTGTGAACAGCCAGGAAAACACAAACAGAAAAACATGTCAATGAGAACAGCTTTAAAGTGAATTCAGCTGAATTAAAATACTGTATATGTCAGTACAGAGAGGAGGACGGAAGAGAAGAAGAGCGGAAGAACTAGCTGATGCATAGAGTAACTAGCTGATACTAGACTGAAACCAACTGACACTAGACTGAAACCAGTTGATACTAGACTGAAACCAGCTGACATTAGACTGAAACCAGCTGACACTACACTGAAACCAGCTGACACTACACTGAAACCAGCTGATACTAGACTGAAACCAGCTGATACTAGACCAACTGATACTAGACTGAAACCAGCTGACACTACACTGAAACCAGCTGATACTAGACTGAAACCAGCTGATACTAGACCAACTGATACTAGACTGAAACCAGCTGACACTAGACTGAAATCAGCTGATACTGGACCAGCTGATACTAGACTGAAACCAGCTGGTACTAGATTGAAACCAGCTGACACTAGAATGAAACCAGCTGATACTAGACTTACTGTCTTGGGGACACGAAGATGAATGGGCTGAATGCAACAACAATCAGTAGACTATTAAGTTTCACTGGCGTAATTTTTCTACAAACAAGAACCAATCGAAATTCTGGACATACTGGTTTTAAAATGTTCCAAAAGATTCAAACAAGAATTTCATATTGAGGTAAAAATATAAACTATTGCTGGAAGGAAGTGTGACATCTCTGAATGTGAGTAAAATGGTACTTTACTGATTTAATAAACCTGAAGCTTTATAAACTTTGACTGGAACTTTGCCAACTCCACCATCTTTCCACTTCCTCCTCAGGTGGGAGACCAGTGGCTGGAGTGAGTGCTCTCGAACCTGTGGTGAGGGTGTTCAGTACCGCACCGTGCGCTGCTGGAAGATGCTGTCACCCGGTCTCGACTCCTCTGTCTACGATTCGCTGTGTCTGTCACATGACCTGCATAAACCAGCCAATAGAAAGGTCTGCCTTGGCCAGAGCTGTGGACCACAGTGGGAGGTGTCTGAGTGGTCAGAGGTAATAAAACAAGTGCAATGTTTCTGATGTTGTGATGTTGACCATCTTCATTGCTGGTGTATTCATTGTGTTTGAATACAGGTCCTGACTGCATGTATAAACAGTTTCATTATTTTGATCACTACAAAAATCTTGGGACTATATGTGAGGATGGAAGAAATATTAGCTGGTGAACTGAGAGCATTGTTTTCTAAAATGTACCAATACAAAACATTGCTGACTACACTACACCTGGCCCTGACACAGACCCTTGCAACTGACTCCTAGCTACGTGACCCCCCTACATGATCGTTGATGAGTCCAGGGGTGGTCCCACTTTACATTTTCAGGCTGCACCCAGCTGAGCTCCATTGCTCTTAAATCGTCTCAAATCAAACACAGTCTTCTTGAGACAGAATTTGCCAAACATTAGTTAACACACCCAGAGCCTGATTCCTCACAGCGCTGTTCCCTGGAACACTAGATTACACAAACCCCTCCACGGTGGCAAGTTTGAGATTCAAAGAGAGAATTACCCCTGCCATGAAAACACAAATGAATGGAGCAATATCTCATGAAGTTGATTTCTAAATGGCCAAAGCATAAATGATAAAGTACCAGTGAAACACTGAAAAGGAGTTGTAACAGTACTCCACGCCTATAACAGATTTCAAATTTGTATGTGTGTGTGTGTGTGTGTCAGTGCTCGGCACGTTCCGGCTCTCGGGGTGTTCGAACTCGGGAGGTTCGTTGCTCCATGGAAATGAGACTATGTAACAAGTCGTCTCAGCCAATAGAGAGTCAGGAATGTGAGGGCCCTCCCTGCGACAGAAGATGGACAGTTTCTGACTGGGGACCTGTGAGTTTAACAACACAGTTGTTTATGAAATTAGTTTATGAAATCGACAACATCAGTTTTACATTGAACTTAAAAATGTGTTGATGTGCCAGTGCTCAGGTGTGTGTGGAGAGGGGAGGATGGTGCGTGCGGTGACATGTCGATCGTCAGGTGGGATAGTGATGTCAGAGGAGCAGTGTGACCAATCACTGCGCCCACTGGCCATCTATCCCTGTGGTGACAGAAACTGTGCCCCCCACTGGGTTGAACAGGAATGGCAACAGGTAAACAAATTTTGGCTAGTGGTGGTGGTTGGGGGTTGGGGGGATCGCAGTGGGAGTCAGTCCACACAGATGTGTTAAGTTTTTTTGTTGTTTGTGGGTGTGTCAGTGTAATGCTACGTGTGGCCGCGGTGTGCGGCAGCGTCAGGTGGTGTGTGCTGGGCTGGAAAGTGGTGTGTTCAAAGAGTTTCCAGACAGTAGCTGTGACCAAAGCAACAAACCAGAGACCAGCTCCTCTTGCTTCCAGAGACCTTGCTCCAAATGGTTCACCACATCCTGGTCCCAGGTAACTCGGCCTACACACTGACGCATCACCAGCCACTTCACTATCATAGAGATCTAAAACCATGGTGGGCTATTTGTATAAATGACTGTCCCCTCATAAATCCTCTCAAACTGTCTCTTTGTGAAAATGGCTTGTTTACCGCAGCTTCATAAATTTAAACAGAAAGTTGTTTTAATGTCAAGATTTATGTTGTTAATATTATCAGTGAATTTAAACAGACTACATCATATAAAGCAGCTGTTATTGTTCCTGAATATTTAGAGTCATATTAATAAAGATTTAAATCACATTTCACAACATAAAACTATTCAACTGTATAAATAAAAGACTGAATAATATTCAGGTTGTATCATCAGATATTTTCTTCTCATTCTACATGAAAATAAAAAACTAAAGATTAATAATTATTTTTTAAAAACTGTCAGTGTGTGATTCTGCACTCTTTTTTTTAATGTCAGTTATATCTTGTTTTGTGTGTCCGGCTGTATTTGAACTGATAGTATGTAGAGGAAAATGAAAAGTTCTGTTCCCTCTTGCCCCCTCAGTGCAGTAAGACCTGCGGGAGTGGTGTCCAGGTTCGAGAAGTCAAGTGTTACCAGGGGGAGGAGCTTGTAACCAGGGGCCACAGCTGCGACTCTGCCCTCAAGCCAGAAGCCAGACAGAGCTGTGAAATCCAGAGCTGTCCGACAGACGCACCAGGTACAAAAACAAACGCAGCATGCACATTTCCTGCAGCTGATGCAACATTTCAGTGCACTTTCAGCTCTGTCAGTAGAGGATAAACGAACTGTAGATGCGTCACTGTGACTGTTGTTTTTCTGCTGTGCCCTAATGAATTAATTCATAATTTTCATGGCCTCTGTGTGTATATCCAGTGGCAGCCCCGGCAGAATCAGTGGCAGTAGACGACTCCTGCCAGGACAAGCCAACAGCCAACTGTGCCCTGGTGCTAAAGGTGAAGCTGTGTTCCCATTGGTACTACAGAAAGGCCTGCTGCCAGTCCTGTAAGGCACCAAGATCCTGAAGTCTTCACTGTAACCTCTCACCTCGACTCCTCAGCACCAACCACTGGTACCAAAAGTCACACCACATTCTTACCACACAAACGCCTGTTGCTAGCAACGTATGAACATTTACCTTGTTACTGTTACATTATCACTGATGTCAGAGGTCAACCTGTGGTCACTGCCTTCTACTTGTCACTGTTATCCTTTTACTCTTGGTCCCTCACACCTCTTTTAAGGAAGTAGCATCATCACTACTAAAGATCAATTGATCATAATTACCTCCTAGTGCAAAAAGAGACAGATGGATAGACAGAGCCCACTTCCTGCTTTGTGTCACTATTTTACAACTGGACATTTACCTAAAGCACTGACACAACGTACAAGGCTTTAGCCTACTTCCTCTGACCATTTAGCCAGTGTGCTACTAAATCTATTCACTGACAACCTCCTCCCCAGACAATGTGAAGATTCACTGGGATGTCTGTTCATCTGTTCACCTAACAGAAGATGTAACCAGTCTTTTGAAAAATATCCTTCCTCCAGTGTTTGTTGCTTCTATATTTCCACCCTTCTCACCATTTTTAGGACTCATATCCGTCCATTCCTATCTCCATCACTCAAAGTAACTCCGTCTATATGTCTAAAATCTGTCCATTCCCTCACTTCTTCTCGAGGTGCTATGTTTCACTTATATGTATACAAAGTACATGAAAGACCTAAGGCATCTTTGTCATTAGTGTGGAAACAGACCAAGACAGACTAGACCAGGGGCTGGTTTACACAGATATCTCAGACTGCTCTGTAGTGTTGGTCCAGTCCTCATTCTGCTCATAGATCAGTCTGATGTCAGTCAGACTGTTTCACAAAAATAAAGACTGACTCATTTTAAGAAAAACACCTCACCCCCAGGCTAACTATGCCTAAAACCAATGTTACAATGGACTACACTGTCCAGTAACATTCAACAACAAAAAACAGGAAAACATGGCTTGTAATTTTTGCTAACATTGTTATGGAGAGAGCAAAGAGAAGGGAATTAGTTTTTAGAGACCAAATCAGTTGTTTTTTTTCATTGTTTTACTCTTCATGTAAAACGTCCTTGTAACAGTTGAATTGTTCCAGTAGACAAACATGTTCTGCTGGGTAAATGTGGCTGATGGATTGAATGAGGTTCTTCAGTCGGCCAATTTTTTTATATTGAAAAAAGTCTTAAATGGTCAAGAACTAAACTGCTTTGTGCAATGGATGAATTTAGACTCAGTTAAAATCTGTCTTTATGAAACCAGCCCCAGCGAAATAGTGCGGCCTACCCCCTCAGCCTTGGTTCAGTCCTGTTTTTTATACGTCCAGTAGGTGTGCACAGATAGATAGATAGATAGATAGATAGATTCTTTATTTATCCCCTAGGGGAAATTCATGTAGCAGTGAACCTGGATGTAGCATCTAAACTACTGCGACATCCAGCCAGGCACCAGTCAATGGCAACTGGACTAAACACAACAGTAGCTGACAGAAGTCATTTAATACTTTTGTTTTTAAATGCATTCAAAGAATATCTCTGAAAATCTAACAGCAGTAATGGTTATGTTAACATAGACCAACAGTAGCTGGGTCACAGATGCTAACACTGACAACAAACAAAGGCTGAAACAGAGAACGTGCACAGGGGTCATTCACAGACAAACGTGGCATTTTCTTTCTCTGTTTTTTTTTCTGCCTGTGTGTTGTACTTGTATAATGTTTACGTTGTTGAGGTTTGGGAGATGTGGTTCCTCTGCAACAGCCTGTGGTTTCCCATACCACACATCACTGCCCAGGTTCACAAACATGTATGTGTATCTCTGTAGAGGCACAAGTCTGGCTGCAGTCCAACAAACATGAATAACTTAACTCCACTTTTACATAAAAGGTTGAAGTTGCTTGTTTATTGTTTTACTCAGAGTCACATGAGAAGATCAACATCAGTTTCACCACTGCGTGTCTGGAATAGAGAGATCCAGGATATTTTTAGCCTAGCTTAGCACAAAGACTGGAGATAGTGGGAAACTGCTAGCATAGCAACATCTGTCAAAAATGAAGCAAATCTTCAAAAAACCTATTTAAACATTTAACGTGTTTGACACATGTAGAAACAGAAGTAATTATAGATCAGGGCTGCTGTGGGCCTGGACTTGTGCAGCATCTCAAAAGTCTCATTCTCATCATTTACAGTAACAGGAGCAAAACCCAGGTGGCTCTGTATGTATGTGTCTTTGTGTATCTTTAATGAGCTTTCAGACAGTATCAGGCAACAAAGATAAATCTGATGTTTATCTTCCCATATCTCTCTGGGAAAAACAGCACAATATGACACACATTTTCTTAAGAGCAATCGAAATAATTTGAAAAGTTGATGCATCTGCAGGTGCATGAACTTCTCAGAACCTGTTACACTCCTGTAGATACTTCAGATGTGACGGCTTAAAGTTCCTCTCCAGACATGTTTTAAACTCTGTAAAATCCTCTGCTTTGATTCATATTTAGTTGAACTTGGTTTTCACACATTAAACTGGGTCTGAAGCTCATCTGCTCTTACTTCCTGATTGAGAAAGCTGGATAAGGCCTCGTGCCCCGCCCACCACCTGCTTGCTCCAGGTGAACAGGTGACAGAGCAGAGAGTATCAAGATGGGTAGAGGAGGAAATATCATCTCTCTCTCTTTGTACTGACAAGGTTTCAGGTTTATTTAGCCCCGTCCCCATAAGTTGACAGGATTGGTTCCTTAGGTTTTTCTTAACTTTTTTATGAGACTGTCATTGGTTCACTGCAGTTCAAGATGGAAACACTCATCATCAGTCATGGTGTTGATGATTATTTCACTCATCATATGTCTGTATTATATAAAAACATCATATAGATGTTAACATGATTAAACACTTGATTTTCATCTTAGGAGGTTTTTAAGTAAGAACTAAATGGAAAATACATCACTGGAGTTTCTGCTTGAAAATATAAGAATAGTACAAACACAGCACAACACAGAAGTAGCTGGGGAGTAGGAATGTGGTGCTGTGGGTGCCAGTGAAGACTGTTGGGGCCAAACTCATCTATTCAATACACTGTGTAAACAAGACTGTCTGTGTCTCCCAAAGTGTTGTTTACCTGTTGTTATTCTGCCCACAGAGCTGCTGCTGTTGATTTTGTTTACTGTATCACACATAAAGAATAAAAGACCGGCTGTTTGTGATGAGCACCTGTGTTTGACCTCTGACTGGACTGACCCTCGCATGTTAACTAGTTCCTGAAGAAAGCTCCAGGTTGTGGAGACTTTAAAATAACCTTTTGAAAACCTGAAAATCAAGCACCCGAGCAAAGTGAAAAGCTTAAGTTTCAGTGGTTACCAACTTAACAGTGGTAATTCAAGCTGGAAATGAATGGGAACCAAACATAGAGATATAAAGGTACATACTGGTTTGAATGAATAAGAGAGCGGAGCTGTGTACATTAAGCTATCATCAGAAACATGATCTGTTTCCTCTGTGTGTATGTGAGAGTGTCATTATTGACCATTGTGTTGTTCAGAATACTCACCCCTCTCACCCCAGCATTATCAACTAGCATTGTCATGGTTACAAGAGTTGGGATCCCAGTGGATGACTCCTTGGTGAAACCAAATCACACACATGAACGCACACCAATTACTACATCTGAACTGGTCTCCACAAAGCAGTGTGGGTCTTTGGCTTCCAGACGGCTGGTGAGAGGACATCAAGGTGGTTTCACTTCATTTCATCTTCAGATACAGGAATAGTTCAGTCTTTTGTAGCTACAGAGGATTCCAGACCAGGAGAAGAAAAGCAGCTCCAGGTAGAAGGTGAGCACTTTCACTTTTGGACAGACATTTGCAGTGAGAGTAGGGGAAACTAATTAACTAATTAAATTAATTATGACACTTGGTAACATAACAGATGATTCTTTTAAATTCAAGAATTTATATTTAATTGATTTCGCATACAAACTTTGTAAAAGTGACAAGAAAATGCAAATCAGAAATCTAAACTGTTACACATTTTCAAAGGTAGTGACATTATGAGTAGTTGTGTGAGTATAAATCACTAATGGCCATGTTATTGCATCACATTCAAATTGTCATAATCATGTTGATCAAAAAATCTTGCAGTCTGAATTGTTGACCCACTGAAGTTTTTAATTTATTTTTTTTCTTGAAGTAACTTTAATGTAGTTGTACGCGAAGTATTAGACCCACATTGAGGAGAAGAAAGAAATCTGAAATTTATTTAATATTACATCAACCAATCAAACAGGTGAAAGGACAGTCAGTGCAGCATGAGCTGCTTCTGGCAGCTGCTGTTTGTCTAACAATAGAACAGACTCAGTGTCTTCAGTCTTTTCAGTGTCCGGATGATGATGATGATGATGATGATGATGATGATGATGATGATGAGCCAAAAGATGAAGTTTCTCCTTATCAGTGAAACCTGCTAAAGTAGAACTTTACAGGATGCTCCATGTTCCTCATTTTAAAGCTTCTGATATTTCCCCTCTAAAAAAACATGCAACCTAAAATAACAACTTTATTCTCATAATATTATGACTTTATTCTCAAAGTTTCAGACTTTTTTTTCCTCAATATGGCCCTAATACTCTGGCGTAGGTTAGGAACTTCATTATTTAATTATTATTAAAACCGTATCAATGAGACACACAGTTGCACTGGGTAGTAGTGGAAGAAGTTCTCAGATCCTTTATTTTGGTAAAGGTACCAGTGCAGAAGCGTAAAAATCCTCTACCACATTAAAATATGTGCATTTGAAATACAAAAGTAGTATGAGTTAAAGTTACAGGTAGTCAAGCAGCAAAAGTTGCTTTACTAGTCCAGTGGTTTTCTAACCTAGGGTTCAGTCCCCTTGTAATGGTCATCAGATGAATCTGAGAGGTCGTGAGGTGAATAAAGAAGATAAAAGCTTCTGATACATTCTTCTTTATTACTTTTCTTTAATTTTTGCGTTTTGTGAAATAATAGATAAATAAAATAATCTGAGTGGTGGAACTGTTAACAAGTTTTAAACATCTGAAATGTGGCAAAGGCCCCAACCAAACAGTTATTCACACAGAGGTCACAAAGTTAATCTGAAACAGTACAGAACAAACATAATTAAATGATGGGGATAATTATTAGAGCAGTAAACACATTTTAAAAATGAAACTTGATATATATTTTTTTTAAAGATTTACATCTTCAATAGGAACCAATAAGCTGAGAGCCACAAACAGGTTCATGAAGTTAGAGAGGACTGAGAAATGGACTGATGCATCTTTAAAGGATTTGTTTACAAGAGGAAAACTATGGAATAGTTATCCTTTATTATTTCCACTGTAGATTTAAACATAGTTTAATGAGCTATCAGACCCAGACTGGGACTCTGGAGCATTTGATATCACTGACTGTGTGGGGAAACAATGATGGCCTGCTCAATAAAACCCAGATGGGGTTGCATGTCCATGAGCCTGTGTATGTGCATTTCTGGGACTTATTACATTCTTGGGAAATTCTTCCATTATTGTTTTCTACAAAGCCCATCACTGCAGGTCTCCAAGGGTCTCATTTCATTTGTGTCCCTCCTTCCTGTTCCTGGTGTTACAGTGATAACGTGCTGTTCCTCTGTGAGACTAACATCTGGCTCTGCTGTGTCCCGTCTGTTCCAGATGCCTCTCAAAGCCTCTGTGTCACTGCTCGTGCTGATGTGTGTGTGCTGTGTGGAAGAATGTGTGTGTTTCCCCAACGGCTCGGTGGTGTTCTCCTGTGGCAACATGATGCCAGTGCACCCGCCCTTTGCCCCTTCCACCAGTAGCCCACCATTCACACTGTCCACCTCTAGTCCCACCTACAGGCCTGGTGGCGTCATTACAGGTACATCCGTGCTGCGTTGTTCCCATGGACTGAATGTTTCTAATGCAAAAATATTAAAGGATTCTAATGAACAACCTGCTTTATGTAAATGTGCTCACTCTTTGTACTTCTGAATGTTTTATTTTTACTACATTTTGTTTTTGGCTTGTCTGTCCATCTCATTGTCATGGACACGATATCTCAGTGACACCCTGATGGAATTTCTTCAAATCTGGCACAAACATTCACTAGGACTCAAGAATGAACTGATTAGATGTTGGTGGTGAAAGGTCAAGGTCGTGGTGACCTCAAAAAATGTGGTTTTGGACTTGAGAACACAATATCTCTGTAACACCTTGAGGGAATTTCTTCCGATTTTGACAAATGTTCACCTTGACTCAAGGAGAAACTGATTAGATTTTGGGGGTCAAAGGTCGCGGTCAGTGTGACCTCAGAAAACACTTTTTAGCCATCACTCAAGACTTCACAGCAATTATGACAAAATGTCACACAGATGGTTCATATTTTATTTGACTCTGGATAAACAGGGATGTAACCTGAAACTAGTCTGAGTGGAGGAGGCAGACGACCACCAGGAGGTGATTCCTGTTCTGTATGTAATTATTCTCTCTCCCCCAGCATTATTCTTTCTCTCGGTGCTCTGTCTCTTCTCTTCAATCTCTACTCCCCTCTAACTCTCCTTGTCTCAGGGGCGTTGAATAACAGTTCAGAGGTCACAAGTCATGTTTGGAGGAATTTACTTTGACCTCACTCTTACCCTCAGACTCCCTGCATCCCTCTACTTTCTCCTCCAGCATGAGACGTCATTAACACATTCCAGCTGAGCAGCTTTTTCACACTAGTTGCACATACAGAGAAATCCTCCCCTCTCCCCCCTTCTCTCTCCACCAACACTCACCTCTCCCATATTACCCCTTTCCAACCCCAGTTTATCCTCACAGCTTCTCCACTGAGCCTGTGTGATAAAACCATGAATCTCTCTCTAATTGTCTCCTGCAGTGACGGTGGAGGTGGTGAACAACAGCTCCACAGAGTTCCAGGGTTTCCTTTTACAGGCCAGGAGCAGAGAGGGACAAGGTACAAAACCCTTAAATGTGTGTGAGTGTGTACATGTTTATTTGTCATGTGTGTCTGAAGGTTTTTCTTTGTCATAGAGAAGGCTCAGATTCATCATGGCAACTTATTATTTATAGCTTTTTGTATTTTTGGAAGGTTTTAAAGGATAAAGATTTAGTCCCAGCACCTGTGTGGATGAACTTTGTGTTTCTGTTTCCAGCTCTGCTGTGGCCTGTAGGAAAGTTCACCAACATTAACTCCACCCTGTTCACTGCACTGCGCTGTAAAAACATGGAGGTATGTGTCAGTGTTACATCTCTGCTGTGTCTTTGCTCACTAAATATGACAATATTAACAGTAATAGCAAACATATAAAAAATAAGTGAACCCTTTAGAATGACCTCCATGTATGTATACATTTGTCCTTAAATATGATCAGACCTTCATCCAAGTTACGATTATGAACAAACACAATCTATTTTAATAATAACACACAAATCATTATATCATCATTCAAACTATCACAATGTAGACTGAAAACTGTATGTGAAGCCCTGAGCTGATGGCATTCGATAAAGCTAGCTGGAGTCAGGAGTTATCAAACCTGGAGTCCAGTCAATGAAACCAGATTGGAGGTTTGGGTTAGAGACACTTTAACTTATAAAAAAACACTCAAATGTTTGCTGTTCACAACAAGCATCAGCTGATGTGAAGCATGCTTCACAGAAAAAGAGATCTCAGAAGAGTCGTCGATTTGCATGAAGCTGAAAGGGTCACAGAGTCATTAGATCTTCATCAGTCCTCAGTCAGACAAACTGTCCACAGATGGAGATTCAGGTCTGTGGCTACTCTCCCTAGAAGTGACGTCCAGCTGAGACGACTCCAAAAGCACAACGCAGACGCTCAGTAACCAAGAAGCTCAGAGTCACAGCTGAAGGCTGAAAGGAATCAGTGGAACTGGTTCACATCTCTGTTCTCCGTTCTACCTCACACACATCATGGGACATGGTTGCATGGGGCATGGTGTCCTGTCACAGACACCACACTGTTGCCCCCCTGGAGTCTGTCAAAGAGCACCGTTACACTCCACAATGCTACTGGGAAAACCTTTTATGGACTGATGAAACTAAGGTTGAATCATTGGGGGAAAACATGCCGCTCTACGTGTGGAGTAGGAAGGGCACTGCATTCATTTATGAAGTTTATCCAGGTCTCTTCCAGGATAATGTCAGACTGGCTGTCCACCTGCTGAGGCTCAGGAGAAGCTGAGTGATGCAGCAGAACAATGACCCTAAATATCCAAGAACATCGACTACAGACTGACTTCAGACAAAGAAAATCCACCTTCTGGAGTGGTCCAGTCAGAACCCAGACCTGAATCCAGTAGAGATGCTGTGGACTGAGCTGAAGAGAAACATGCAAACCAGTTATCCTAAGAAATGTCTGAGCTGAAGCAGTTCTTTAAAGAAGAACAGTCCAGACTTCTTCCTGAACACTGAGCAGGTCTGATCAGCAGCTACTGGAAGATCTTGTTTGAGGCTATTGGAGCTAAATGAGGTTCAACCAATCATTAAATTCATGGGTTCACTTACTGTTTCCATCACTGTGAATGTGTAATGGCTGTCATCAATAAATATGTAAAATATTATAATAGTTTGTGTTGTATTAGTTTAGAGACACTGTGTTTGTCTACGTTTGTGACTTAGGTGAAGATCAGATCACATTTTATAACAAGTCAGTGCAGAAAACCAGGTCATTCCAAAGGGCTCACATACTTCTTCTTGCCACTGTATATTAATACTGTGAAAGTATCAAAGCCTCAGTCCACAGAGAAATGCACACAGCCTGTATTCAGAAACTGAGCCTTAAAACCAGCCGTCAGGACTTCTGGAACTTTGTGATGTCACAACAAAGCAGTCACTGCTCTCAGCCATGCCCCAAGCCCCGCCCACCTGGACCCACCATCCAACCTTGCAGGATTTGGTTTCTCTGAGTGTTTACCTGAAGTCTGCTATATTTTTATTGGATCACTTAGAAAACAGTCAGCCAATCAGAAGAGAGGCTCAGAGTCTCCTCTCTTCTGATTGGCTCACCAACCTGTTGTTACTAGAGCTCCAGAGAGAAGCCTGAGAGAGGAGATGTAAAACTACACTGAGATGGTTTTTGGTTCCTAAAATCACAAATATATCTTCAACATTTCAAATAAAACACAGGAGAAGAGGAAAATATGGAGCTTTAACAAAACACTGTACTGCTGAGCTTAATGGATGCACGTGTGTTTGTAGAACTCAACTGTTAGTCAGGCATCAGGAGCCAAGAGGAAGAAGGTCCAGCTGACCTGGGAGGCACCTAGCAACAGTAACTACAGAGATATCTACTTCAGGTAGACAGAGTTACACACACACACACACACACACACACACACACACGCACACTCAGTCTTCATGTCCTTGTTGTTGTTAATGATGATGATGACGATGATGATGATGGTGTTGTTGACAGTGCCACTCTGGTCCAGGACTACACAACATTCTGGGTTCAGCTGAACAGCAGCTCTCTGAGACTGGACACCAGTGGAAACTCTGCAGCTGGAGTGAGTACTGACTGATTCACTGACTGACTGACTGACTGACTGACTGACTGTTCAGAGGATGAGCTGGATTATCTGTATAGACTATGACAGACTGTAAATGTCACTTGTCTTAATCAGCATTTGTTGTTGCTACACTGTTTGTTCCACTCAGGCATGAAAATGGTTTCAACATACTGTAAACATTGTTAGTTTTCCAACAACTGATTCATTTTTATTCCTCCGCGTCAGCAACAGTCAGAGCCGGAGGCTCATTGTATTCAGGTTGTCTGTCTGTCCATCCATCCTTCTGTTCCGGTCTCATTGACATGATATCTCAGTAACACCTGGACGAAACTTCTTCAGATTTTGCACAAACATTCACTAGGACTCAAGGAATAAACTGATTAGATTTTGGGGGTCATAGGTCAAAGGTCACAGGCGTGGTGACCTCGTAAAACACAGTTTTGGTCCTGAGAACACGATATCTCAATAACGCCTTGAAGGAACTTCTTAGAATTTGGCAAAAATGTTCACTTGGACTCCAGGATGAACTGATTACAGTGACACCACCGCTGATACCGCTGATGAGAATCAGCTGAGGCTGAGGTGACTGTCTGTAGTTCTGCAGGTATGTGTCCTGATGATGGCGCTAGATGAGAAGTCACATGAGAAGTAAATAGAGAACCACATTTTAACCCAAAACATCCAGTAGGTGTTGACATATTTCAGCAGATAACTGAAAACCTAAAAACTGGTGGCCGTAGAGTAAACTTTCGCAGCAGTCTATTTCAGACAAAACATTTCCCTCAGAACCAAAAACATCGACCTCATGGTGGCACTAGAGGAAAAGTCAGGGTGTCATCACTGGACGTCTCCCCTGATGCAACCTGGGTTCAGGGGAACCAGGGATGAAACCGCCAACCTCCTCTACCAGCCCTGGACCCCCTTGTCTGGGGACCACGGATGTCTGTGCAACAATTTGTGGCAATTGAATAGTTAATGAAATATTTGAGTGTGGACTAAAGTGATTGATCTATGATAGCCAATGAGATGGCAAAGATCTGTACAGGTGCAGCGTGTGAGAAACAGCACTGATCTTGTTTTAAGAATCCTGTTAGATGAGATGTTTCACTAAACTTTGATGTGGCATTTTCAGAGTGTGGAGCAGAAGCAGCAGACAGCTTCATGTCAAAGCTCTGCCTGACAACTTTCTCTCTCTTTTTCTTCAGGTCGTCTCCTCCTCAGCTCTGCTCTTCATCAATCTGCTGGGTCTGTCTGCCTACTGCTGACACACACACACACACACACACACACACCTCTTGCAGAACATGTATCCATATACAGTAACTGACTGTTCCGGCTGTTGTTGGTGAAAATGGAAACAAAAATAATTCTAACGTTTTTGGTGAAGTTGAAAATAAAAAACTTTACTGAGAATGTTGTGTTGCCTGTGTTAGTTGATGTAAATTCTTTAACCAGGTTCAACTTAACTTAACAAAATAATGATGTAAAAGAATAATGGAGAGAACGAACGCCTCTCTGCAGAGGAAACTGCTCATATGCAAAGTGAAAGCGAGCTGACCGAGAGATGCCATATAGACTGAGGTGGAGCTGTGTAAAGAGTCAGTTGTGTAAAGAGATGACGATGCACGTGAATAATACAATAATGAAGCTCAAACATCCATCAGAGATGTCAGAGGCTGTTGGTTTGTCAACATCAACAAAGGAAAAGTATAAAATGGCAAATGAGTTGTTCACCTGAGGATGAGCAGAAACAATGTGCATGGTAAAGAAAAACTGCACAGCAAGTCGAGGACGATGTAGGCAACACGTTTCCATGTCAGTGACCAAGAGAAGACTTCATGACCAGAACCTGAGGGTCATCATCACCACAAGACACAGAGTCCAGTGGTCTATTTCAGCAAGCAGTTTAACACTGAGATGAAGGAAACTGGGTTTTCTGTTACTTACTCTGTGAAGCTAACCTGCTAAACAGTTACCATGGTAAGTTACTCTGTGAAGCTAACCTGCTAAACAGTTACCATGGTAAGTTACTCTGTGAAGCTAACCTGTTAAACAGTTACCATGGTAAGTTACTCTGTGAAGCTAACCTGCTCGCTGGCATGAACCCTGCGTTTCTGTCTGTCTCCTCCTGCTGCGATTTAAGAAGCTTCTGACACGGCGCGTCATTTCCTCATTCATACTGTCTTTATCAAAGTGCAGATTGGAGACATTCATTCCATAAATTTTACATTGGAAGAAGGTTAAATCCCGACGAGACAAGACCTGTCTTCTTGAATGTGACCTCTTTTATGATCGGTCGTCAGTATGAGGACGGAGACAGATCTCTGACATTCAGATTACACACGGAGGCTTCATCCTCAGC